CCACAAACAGAGACAGAGTCATGAGCTGTTAACAAGTCAGAAGACATTTTATTTTGAGTCAGTGTTTAAAATTAAGAATCACAGATTCTTTTTACTAATATTAAAATATCCAATGTTTAACATATTTATATTAATATGCAATGAACTGAATACAAAACCAAAAGTTACCAAAACAGAGATGAAATAAACTTTTCTAAATGTAAGGAAAAGGAAAAGACTACTACTAGACTTGCGGGAGCACCGCAATAAATAAAACCGACAGGGGAAGCACAAGGACATGCGTAAGAGTGCATGCAAGGTCAAAAGCAATAATAGCTCAACACAATATCTCAGCACCAAGCTGACAATCTCCATCTCATTTGTGGACTTTAGAAGCTGTTGTTGCACTTACTACAGTCTCTGCTAAGGAAAGCCCACAGTGCTACATGAAGTTAAAGCTAGTAGGTGAGATAGCCATGGCTAGCCTTATTGTAGCAAAAGCTAAAACCTTCTCACTGATTCTGCTATCTGTAAATGAAAAATAGTAATTTTGTTGAACTGAGGTCTTGGTAAATCAGTTCATTATAAGAATCATTGTTCCACATAAAAAAAATCCAGCCAAACCCCTGCTAAAGGGAACTAACGCTATCTTCGCCGATCTCAGCAGCTACCATTTTTAATTTTATTACAACTGTTCTACAAGCTATGTAGTTTACCAGCCAGCCTGAAAGCTTTAAACCCTCTCCTCTTAATGTCACTGCTTGTGTAGTACTGCTTTGCCTTTGTAGGGCAGAATAAAAACTGGAATTAAAAAAAAAAAATAAACGGTTTAAAACGTGCTTGGGCTCTTATTTGCCCGATCCTCGTCGATGAGGCATTCAACTCTTCTGCCAGCTACTAGCCTGCAGCAGATTTACTGAAACAATAGACACCTTCATCTACAACGTGTTGTTTACTGCTCCTCTGACGCTTTCTTATTTTCTACTGATTTTTGAGCTATAATATGCATGTAAAATCTGATGAGGACACATCAAATACTGTATCTCAGGTTAACTTTGTCATTAGATGACAGGAAATCCTGGATTTGTATACTATGATGCCTTAATCTTCTTATGTGGAACTCAATGCCAGATATTCATTGCTAAACAGTACTGGCAAATTTATGAATATTCATCCAACAGCATATTTGGTTTTAGCCATAAGCTAGGATTTGTATGTAATTAGATACTTCCCTAAAGACAGAAAGAAAGAAATTATACCCTTGGGTTCTCAGACAAGCTGACTGATCATTGGCAACAGTGTGAAGAGTGTTGTGCCCACTGTCTACATTTCTGACTGCTGTTTGTGGCCTGATGCCCTCAGACAGCACGCAGTGGACATGACATGCCTGACAGAACACGATGCCTGCAGCTGAAACAGATCTGCGTTGACAGACAGACAGGTTACTGTACCCTTAGCAAGACTGGCATTCCCGGGACTCTGTGGCCCAGAGTCTCAAGCATGAGCAGACACACGTACAAACACACACACATACAGATAGTGTGCCAAATTCCACAGAGCTGTAAAGGCAATCAGGGACAGATGAGAAAGCCAACTAAGTGGTGGTAAACTGTATGCCAGGGGACTGGAAGCCATAACAAGTTGCCACAACAACACTCTGAAAAGTTTGTGTGCTTCATGAGAAAAGAACAGTTCAACATTTTGGGAAATATGCTTCTTCCTCTTCTATTCTTGCTGAGAGTTAGATGAGAAGATCGATACCACTCTCACATCTGTACCCTAAAAATGAAGCTACAGCCAGCGGCCAGTTAGCTCAGCTTTGCATAGAGACTTGGAGAAACAGCTAGTCTCGCTCTGTCCACACGTGACAAAATCCACCTACCAGCATCTCTTGAGCTCACTAATTAACACGTTATATCCCATTTACCTAATTCATCTGACAACTAAAGAGTAAAAATAGCAAGTTGTGCTTTTACTTGGGAGTTACATGCCCGACTATTTCTTCTCCAGGTGCAGTGACTTCCTATACTCGTGTCGTCACCGTGAGGTTGGCAGGGAACCAGCTTAGTGAGCTTAGTGGGTGCTGGTAAGCTGGTTAGTTTTTTGTTTCCTTTGGACAGAACCAGGCTTAGTGTTACCTCCTTTGCAGTCTTTATGGTAAGTTGAGCTAACCATCATTTGGCTGCAGCTTCATAGTTAACGAATCAGATGAGAGCCGTTTTGATATCCTCATTTAACTTTTGGCAAGAAAGTGAATAAGCGTATTTCCCAAAACTACTTCTTTAATCTGGGTTTCAGTTTCTTTTGTTTCAGAATCTCTTAGCTGCCTCTTTAATGCAAAAACAAGGCTGTGAAGGGCATCTCGCTGGTGTCTGGTAAATTCCTGCCCTCTCTTTGAACACATGTGACAAGTAGCGCTTTGACTCTCAGGCCAAATATCACTGATCAAACAGCTATGTTTGGTGTCAGCCGAAGTGGGACAACTAGGTTACTCATAGGGGGGCACTGACCTGCTCCAAGTATGTTTAGCTAGGAAAACCAACACATGTACTGTGCATACTGTGGGCCTATTTTGCACTTGTAAAGTCATATTATATGCAGTGTGTTCATGCATATAAACTGCAGAGTAAAAAACCGGTAGCTGCCTTAAAAAAGGCCTGGAGGCGTAAAACAGTGTCAATGAGCATGCAGCATCCAGCCCATCATTGCATTCAAACAAAAGATCTCAACTAAAACACTGTCATTAGCTGCTGCCTCAACCCCTTATTTGTCTTCCCACACAGAAAAGTCCCCGTAAGATCTGTTGAGCAAACAACTGACAGATGCTATTTAAGCTTGTGCAGTCCCTAAAAATACATTTGCGCTCCGGGCAGTGATTTAGCAACTCTGCTGACGGGAGCTTTGAGCGAGCGATCCCAGTGAACATGTCCATCAACAAGAGCAACAGCATTTGTAACATGAGGACGCGCTTTAGCTATGCACCACCAGTCACAGTGAATGTAAACTATTCATGTCTCGAAGCATTATCTACTGCTCACTCCGGCGTTGTGGGGTGTCTGTGGTTCTCTTAGGGTGCCGGGTATGGTCAAAGTTCAACAAGAGGCTCCCGAAATCTTTGCTCTTTCAAAGAAACTGGACTTTTCATGATGAATGGCATAAGCAGGTAGGCTTTGAATTTCAAGGAGCTATTTTACAAGGGGCGATCATTTAACCCTGAGGTAGAAAGGAAATGATTTCAACCCCCACCTCGGTCTTCAGTTAAAGATTTTTTTCCCTCTCCTGGGGGAAACATTTGCTTCCCTGTGCTCAGTGTGTTAATAGAGATTACACTAAATTCAAGCCTGCATGTCAGGCATCAATTCAGGTAGCTCATACCATGCATACCTGTACTATTGTGTGGCTCAGCCCTTTGAGCTTGGCTGAGGACAGATGAAATTTTCTCAGAACATTGTTATTATGGTGGCCCTGGACAGCTTCAAAAGCGACAAGAAAGTCCTAATGCCCTACCACTGTGGGCTAAGCTTCAAAGAACTTAATGTCACTTACTTTAATGAAGGTATTGGATCAAAAGGAAGAGGAGTCGCCGACCCTAGCCATCAATAATACTGTAATACAAAATTCCTCTCTCACTGAAGTGGAAAATGTTATGGTCCTTATTGAATCAGAGATGTATAATTTTTATCTAAATATAAAGGAATCCCCACAAAGTAGGTTTCTTGTTACAGTGTGTTAGTTGAGTTCATTAACTGTACTACAAAAGAGAAACACATCAGCCCGGCATTCAACCTTTCTTTGGACCCACATTTAGGAGGTGTTCATGTCCAAAGATAGATTGCAGACCTTCATTAAATTGCACGAAAAATACGATTCTCACAAAAAAACAGAGGGAACAGCTATTTTCATTGGAGCCAGAAAGGAATGACATGGGTCTCATCAAGGTAAATCAGAAACAACAGCAGATTTCAATCATATGCCAGCAAAGGCCAAGAGAGTTTCATTCCATCCAGTTGATCTCAGTTCATAAGCAGTCAAAGCTTGATTCAGATAAAACTCTTCTCGACCTTAAATGGCACATGGTTGGCAGCGTTGAGCGCCTAACTTGAAAGACTAATGCATTTCATACTTGTGACTAAATCTAAAGCTGTGAAAAGGAAGTGAAATCCTCAACTGGTGCACAGACGACAGCACATGGTCCACATTGTAATGTGGTACATGTGATGTAACAAGTGGGGCACAAGGAAGAGAACTGGGCCTTTATGGTTTTGTTTTACCTTCAGGATAATTCAGTTCTGCAAGTATTTAACACAGCAGCATTGGAATCCAAAGTTTAGCTCATCTTTTTGTTTGATTACATGCTTGATAGCTTGATATGAGAATGAAATCTACGTTGACACATTATTGGATATTTACAGGGATTTGCAAGTCTGTATGGTAAATATGCAGAGGTTGTGCTAAGATAAGCTAACCTAACCAAAGCTGCCTCCAACTATATTATATATTTACAGTTGTTATTGTAATTTGTACCAAATTACAATAAAATAATCAAAAAGTTGTCCCTCACCTGAGACCTGATTGCCCCCAAAATTGGACAAAAACACACCTGAGCTCAGATAAAACACTGACAACATCAGATCATCGTAAAAATGGGACCATAGTTTAAAAGAACCTGCGGTTAGAGTTGACTTTTCAGTATGTGGGCTTGAGTTGAGAATTAGTGTTCCTTTCACTGCTTGGCAAAGTGCTACCGACAATTAGTTTCAAGCCTTATTGGAATGCTTTTTTCTTTCTTTATGAATATGACGACGAGGTTGGCCACTGAGTTATGTGTGCATGTCTTGTTTATATGGCCTCCATCATCATGCACAAACAGAAACCCTCCAAGCATCACCTACCCCGCATAGTGTGCGCACCATGCAGCCTATCAGAGCGCACCGGCCCGGGAGAGTGTTTCTTTAAGAATGTAAGGTGGGTGAGCCCCTTTTCCTGACGCACGCCTGGTAAGCAAACATAAATTTAGCAGCAACGTGTTTGCTGGGGGAACAAAATATCTGGAAGTGACCGTGAAGTGTCATGTCGTCTCCGGCAGTTCTAGGCTGACTTTTACCTCCCCCCCCCCTCCTCTCTCTGTGTAAACTGGAGCCGCGGTGCAGGGCGGAGAGGAGTGACTGGGACAGACGGACAGAGAGCGGCAATCACAGTCGACTCTATACTATTTGAAACTACATTGCGTTTATCAGCGTCAGAGATGACAGGGGGCTTCATGTGGACGACTGGGCTGGTTCTTCTCGCAGTCTGTGTGAAGGTAAGCTGCAGTGGTTTCTTCAGATTAATACAAAAGTTTGATCCAGAGAGGAAGGCGCGTCACTTCAGTTTGAGACAGATGCCTTTGTGAAGTTAATGCACCACGAAACCGCTATTAATTACCTAAATACCTGTGGCTCATTATCTTTTTTTACTTTTACACAATGTGTGTGTGTGTGTATATATATATATATATATATATATACTGCTTTCAATTTATATTTCATATTGTATATTATTTATTCTAATCTAATCCTGCAGATTTATACACTGCTGCACATTGGATAAGATGAGAAACAGTGTGGTATTGTCTGCCAGCCTGAAATGATAAAATATCTAATATCTTGTTATAAAGTATCAACTACAAGCAATTAAAACAGGAAACTGAGAATATGCCAGGCAGTTTGAATGTACTCAACTATAATATGTGATAAAATGTGCAGTACCTAAAGTGTGTTATGTAATTAATATATACTACAATCTTTTAAAGTTGAGTCACACCTTCCTTTCACCTTGCAATGTCAGACCTATAATGGAGAGAGAATGGGTCATCCTCCATAAGGTCGACGCTTATCAGTCCTGCATTGAACAAACTTCTAAAATCTGTACACTCAACTCACACTAATCACTGCTGGAATACTTTTACGTGTTATCTCCTAAAGGTCTGTCGTGCACATGCGTCACTCGTGCAGGCCAAGTTGTGTAAAAGCTGACACATGCGGCAAAATAACGGCACAGCAAGAGCTGAGCAAGAGAGTTTGAAGTGGAAAACAAAGCAGTTGTTTGGCCTGCAGACGGATTTTAGGTCTCAAACAGAGGGGTGGGATGTCACTGTCTGCATGTGTAAATGACCACGACAGGTGCTAATAGCACTTCAAGGTGATTTGGGCTTTAGACACCCTGGCTGCCATGTAGCCCATCTGAGCACGTCCACGCTGTAATCAGTGAATGTCTGTGACAGGGAAGCGCTCGAGGCTTTGCAACTCTTTCCAGGCCACTGTCCAGTGCTGGCCTGATTATGTTACAGTTTAAATACTGGGAAGAAAATCATGAAATAGCACATTAATGGACTCAGCATCAGTGTGAAGCTGCTTACATAAGACCTTTTGATTATGTTTTCATGATTCTCTAAAGAACATCATTATTTGACAGTAAACTAGTCCAAAACTGTATGTTTAAGATGTTCGGAGCATGCTATTGGTACTCCAGTGTGTGTGTCATTGTCATTTCATTAACAGCAATGTGTCATTATAAATGGTTTTACTCAACGCCTTGAGCTGTTCAGTTCAGTGTCTAGAATGTTTGAAGTGATCTGCCCTCACACCGACTTCTATGCTACAACAAGTAGCGGTGGTTTGATTGTTTTGAGACTCTGTCACATAGCGAGACTGAATAGTGACTCGGTAGGTTTTTTGTCTCAACTGGCCATGACAAGCTTTCCCATCTGTGCAAGGAGTGGCTGTGTAGCATGAGTCAGCACTGGACATTTATCTGTTCACACACACACCAGAATGACCCAGTGCTTTGCTTCAGAGACCAGGGATCAACAAGTGCTGCCTCCCGGGGTCTCTGCTATGCCCTGTCTTTTCATCCTCACTCTTAGGTCAGAGTCTCTGCATTTCTATTTAACTCAAGAATGGGACTCTATATTTGTGTATATGGCAGTTGGAAGTTGTGTGATTTGTGTGTGTGTGGGCCAAATGGCCTGTGGCTCCAACCCTAAATGGAATAGACCTTCCTTTGTGGGTGACATAATGACATACCTCGAGTGATTCTTGGAGGGTCTTGTTGCTCTCACTCCAGAAACATTCCCCCCCACACACACTTTGCTGTATGGGGATTTAAAGGTGGTTGTGTGCGCAGGAGGCTGTGCCCGAGCAGTTCGCTGAGCACCAAGGTTAGTGCCCGTAAATAATGATTTTTCACCTGCCAGGCTGTCGGGACAAAGCAAGTCCTTTTTGCAGCACTTGCCTCTGTGCTTCTTGTTGCTGTAGCGCTTAGTATTTATAATATTTTAACACTAATATTTAGTGTTAAAAATCTTAACTATGTGTTTGTAGAAAAGTATTTTGCCAGCAATTTCTCCCCTGGCACAGACTCCAGTACCCAACTTGATATGTTTAAGCTATCGTGAACAAACCACGTGGCAACCCTGTAGTGCTTTTTAAATTGCTGTTAATACAATGTAGCTCAGTCAGTTCCCTGTGTACAGTTTCACTGTATTCTGCCCATGCAAAGTTTCAAAATGTTTTCCCAACAAAAAACAAATTCACACATTTTTGGAAATTCTTGCAATTTTACAATAGCTAACTTGCATTTACGCTAACGTACACTAGTTTCGCAATAAAGGCCTACCACTGTCGCGTTATAAAGCATTTGTTGAGAAGCACAAGCAGGACGTCCATAAGCATAGGAGGTAGATCAGTGATATTTGGTCAGTCTGCTTAATAGGGTAAGTCTACTTACAGGGACATTGAAAGATGGAGATAAAATCTGAATACATCAGGTGAAATCTTTTTAATATCATCATTGAAAATGAACAGTCTGTCTATTGAAGTGGATGAAATTACTCTCTTTTTGGTAGTTATTGGTAAACTGTGTGGTTCATGGTTTTTGACGTGATGGATTTAAGTCAGCTGCCAGACTTCCAGCGGCCACACTCACTTCATTACATGCCTTTCTTATAATTACTCAGCTGGAATTCAAAAGGAAATCAGCCACAAAAGCAACAGGTTTTGATGTTTATTCAAGGAAATGTTCCCTCTTAGTCTTAATGCAGCAAGGGGAGTGTATTGAAATCCTCAGGATGGGGAAGCCTTGGAGTCTAATGGCAGGATTAAGTGGGGTCACGGTGTGCAAATGGTCCCAAGTGATCATACGTCAACAACAACATCTCTTGTTCTCTGAAACACGCTCCTCAGCTTGATTGCTTTTATCATAAAGACCAGAAACTATCCAATTAGCTTTCATGCGTGCCTTTGTTGTGGATGCAAGTGGAATGGGAAGTTAATTAATTTTGAGAGGGATTGGTCCCACTTAAGGAGTAAAGGAAAGGGCTTCAGAGAACATCTGGCCAGTGATGGATGGATGGAGCAAGTTTTTGGAGTGCGTTAACAAAACCGAGTGTTTTCAGTTACGCTGCGAAAGCCTTCATACTCATCTCATTGTTCCCATCTGGGCTTAATCTGTGGAGTGAGACTGAGGATTGCTTGGTGTGGAAGTGCATGTGTGCAATGTTACTCTCAATCCAAGGCCAAAATTCACTGGTACTCATGTTTGCATAAATTACCAAGGTACCCGCGAAATGTTTCACTTTTCATGCAGTGCTCTCAGAGTTCCTGGCACAGTAGTAATGTTTCCTGTGTGTCCTACTCAGGTGTACCGGGATGCTGCTTTTCCAATACTGGAAATCAAGAGAGCAGGCATTCATCCCCAGAGCTGCGCCAAAAGAAAGTAGCTTCACACCATTCTCAGTAGGCCAATGAAGGAAAAGTCCTGCAGAACAGAACAAGACATGGCAGCTTCTATTGGATCTTGAAAAGAAAGTTCATTTTAAACAGCATTTGCAATAAACCAGTAGCTAGGCTTAGGCATAGCACTCCTCTCCTCATCTCCTTTCTTTATTGAAAATACGGAAAAATCCTTCAGTTCAAAGAAGCCATTGTAGACATACAAAATCCCCAATCAGAGATTTCACAAATGTGGCACGGTCTGGGAATGATATATTAAATCAGACCTGGCCAGCAGTTCTGTGGTGATGAGCTTGTCTCTGGAATTGTATTTCATAAAATAGACTGATTCCCCTTTTTTGACAATCATAGTGATAACAGACCCTTTTTCCGTGTGAAGCAGCAGATAAACGAAACCCGACTTGCCTTTAACTCATATAACCTATTATTTAGTTAAATTAATGGTTTGAGATCTTGGGAAATACGCTTATTTGCCTTCTTTGCGAAGAGTTAGATGAGAAGATTGATACCACTCTCATGTTGTCAAGATTGGAAACCGAGGGAAACTTTTTTTAACAAGATAGAATATGTTAATTACTGAGCTTTACCGATACACAGATATACCTTTGGACAGAGCCAGGCTAGCTGTTTCCCTCTGCTTCTGGTGTTTATGCTCAGCTAAGCCAACGCTCCCTGGCTCTAGCTTCATCTTTAGCGTACAGACATGACATGACAGTGGTATCGATCTTCTCATCGAATTCTCGGCAAGAAAGCGAAACAGGGTATTTCCCAAAACAGTTTCTTTAACATCAGGACTCAATTAACAACCCAGGCCATGTGAATATTGAAAAAATGTGGAATGGTGAATATGGCTTTTGCCGTTTCCCCTTCAAAATCTTGTGGAACTCGATAGTGTTGTTTGCCTTTCAATCACTTGATGCCAAGTTCTAATAACATGCTGTGACTGACTGCCCAAAGCAGCCTGTGTCAGTAAATGGCATAACTTGCTGGAGTCATGTTGCAGTTTTATGCAGGAGTGTATGCAAGAGGGTGTTGTTCAGACTACAATATCATAAAGCATTGTGAGTTTTTGTGGTTTCATGTGGCTCTCAGGAAATGGTCTTATTGTGCCACACACTGCAAAACTCTGATTTTATATCAGGCTGCTGTCACGCATTGATAAAGATCTGCCAGCAGATGGCAACATTTCAGCAGAGGGACTTTTTGTGTCCAGTTCAGCAGTGATGGCCTCTGTAACTCCCACGCCCATCACAGATCTATTGTGATTTTGCAGGTGGCTGCCCTCTATCCCCTCTCTGTTTCCTCTGGAGGCCCTTGTGAATGTATTTGTTCCTTCTTCGTGAGGTTTATTTGTCATTGCCGAGCTTGAAAGCCGAGCCTCTGGCATCCTGTTCCTCTGATGAAACATCTTGGGCTCCATCTGCAGCGAGCCCACGTCCCCTCCATCAGCGTGATTGAGCGTTGTTGTTTTATCCTGTTGTGTGTTCCTGGACGCCAGCTCAAACCTCATTTGCAGCAGCCGGGGCCCTCC